TCCGAGGGGCGTTTGGCCCCAGAATGCAATGGCAGTGCTTTATTTCCATGGCAATGGCTCTGTAGCTTTGAAGCGAAGGACGGTCGCTGCGCTGCAGGGATGGTGCAGAAACACGGGGCTGGAAGGAGGCAGCTGTGGCCAAGGACCTGCTGCTGTCCCCTTCCTCCAGCGTGAAAGTCAGCCCTGAGGTGCAGCAGCATTTCTCCTTGCAAACCCAGGGAGTTCTGTCAGTATTCCCGTGGTGCTCTGAGCTCTGGTGTAGGACACAGAGCCTGCAGGCAGCGATGCTCCTCCTGCACCAATGCTCATGGTTCCCATCACACAGACATGAAGGTGCTGTGCCCAGCCTGGAGCAGCCAGCATCACCCATCTCAGCCCTGCCGTTCCTGCTGGGAATGGTTCTGTCTCTGTTCCGCCCTGTTTGGAGATGTAAAGTGCTCCGTTCGTAAATCATCCAAACAAGGACATAACCTTGATTCCCTGTGCAATACCAATACATTACCTAACATGAGGCATGAAATGGAAGAATGGTTCCATTTGTATAATCCTGCGTTAAAAATCAGCCTATTCTACATTTACTGCCTCCTGTGAAGTGTCTCCACAGTCATGGGAGAAGGGGGCTGGTTTTGGAGAGCAAACATCGCCGTGTGAGAGGATGCGAATCAGCGCCTCTGCTGCTCTGCCCTTTAGAGTCACACTCGAGTGCGTCTTTTGAGGCTTCCCTGAAATGGGTTATTTGCCAATGGCTTGCAAGCTGCTGACAATTTGTATTTTGCAATTTGTCAAAGCCTCTCCATGGCCCTGATCCTGGTTAATTGCTTTGACAGATGACCAAATTCAGGGATTTCCAGCACGCGGTGCTCAGCCTGGTGGTACAGCTGTTGGATTAACCCACGTCCCATGGCACCACACAACCCCGTGGGCTGTGGGACTGAGAGCTGCAGCACTGCAGAGGGTTTTGTCCCTGCACTGCTGTGCCCTTCCTGCAGGATCCGTGAATGTCATTGGCACCTGGAGAGAACGGGCAGCAGCACACTTTGCCTTGAGGCAGTGTGAGATGCTTTCCCTTCGTGGCGTGGCTTGGACCTGGGTTTGCCACACTATTTCACATAGTAATGAGGGAGATGTGAGAACAGAGGAGGTAATGGCAGAGCAAAGAGAATCTTAGAGGGGAGGTTCTTCTGTGCTTGGAGATTGCCAGTTAACAAAGTGCTTCTCTTAGTGCTCTTGGGCTCCTGGCAGTAGGTGAGGCTCCATCCATGGGCAGGGAACCAGCGTGGCCTCGGTGTTCCCAGGGGGAGAGATGGGCAGAGCCCTGTGGGAGACAGAGACACCTCTGCTGTCTGTGGGCATGACAGCATCACTGGGGTGATGTCACTGAGATGCAAAGCATGGAGAGATCAGGCCTGTGCAGCTCCTCAAGTGAAACTGTGTCTGAAGTGCCAGCCTCCCTGATCTTCAAAGCAGAGAGCTGCATTGGAGAGGATTTGGAAAAGGATTTTCATACGGGGAGGACAGATCACACAAAGCAGCGGGTCTGGCAGAAATGCTCTCAGTGCCTTCAGCTCAGGTATCTCCATCACCCTGCAAACAAATCGCCTCTGCCCAGCAAAGCGCTTGGAGCTGAAAGACACGAAATCCCCACGATGAGGCTGTGCTGCAGCACATGGGATGCTCTGGGATGCTGGAGGACGCCTGGAGCACCGTGCTCATGGCCAGGGCTGTGCTGTGGTGTTGGCGTGGGCTGTGACGAGCTCAGCTTAAAATGCAAAACGTGCCGGCTTCTCCCCCTCGTTCCGCTGTGCCTCCGACCGAGGGATTTAATCTCACTGGCGGAAATTTATGGCTGATGTCTGAGTTGGCCCTTTCCAAAAGAGCAGGGGGGAAAGGGAGGGAAAACAAATGACTAAATATTTACGTGTTTTTATTTCTGCCGGGAAATTAAACCCTGGCTCATGGTCCCTTTTAACTTGCTCTGTCTCCATGCTGCTGGAGCAAGGTGGGGGCTGCTGCTGGGGTCCCACCCCCGTGGTCCCTGTGCATGCAATCACTGTAATTACCTGGGCAGTTGCATTGAAATCAGCCAGCAACTCTTGTAGCTGTCAGTGGGGGTGTGTAAATATTTGTGGGAGTTTTTCTTGCTGGATGAAAATAAGGCCTTCGTACAGCCATTAACCCACGGGAGGAGTTGGTTGTACGTGGGCAGGAAGGTTCCTGGGCAAGGAGGGCAATAAAGGGTTTCCATCACTTCAAATCTTCCTGCTGCTCTGCTCTTTTCCTGACTGAATTTCCAAGTTTAGTTGGGCTTCCCTCACCCCACAAGAAAGAGTCTTAATTCCCCATGCTTTCCCCTCCATCCTTTGCAGTGGGAAAAATAGTTGGGGGTGGGCAGGGGCTCGTGGATAACCAAAATCCCAGTTTTGCCCCCTGGGTCCCTGTGGAGCCGCAGCTGTGGCTGCACTGAGCACTGACTGCTGTGGCACTGAGGGCACTGCTGTTCCTTGGCCTCTGCTTGCTGCCTGGCAGCGCAGCTCAAGTGGTTGGAGGAGGATTTTGTGCCATTTGATGCATCAGCAAAGATCGTTCATCCTCTGAGTCGCGCCGGCAGCCCGCAGAGCAGCGACTTGCAGCTCCTGGGGTGAGCAGGGATGTGCAGCCGGCTGTGAGAGGGGCACAGGGGCACAGAGCTCCTGAGCTTCAGCATGCCCATGGCACGGGGCTTTCATGGAGTAGCTCGTGTTGGAGCGGTGCCATTATGGATCTCTGGGGCAGACGTGGCCCTGCTGCCCGGGCTGCCCCGTGTTTTGTCACCTCTGGCACCTGCAGGACGTGGGGTTTGGAGCTTGGGGCGGCGAGCCGCAGTCCCCCCTCCTGTTATGGGGTCAGGGAAAGGGGCTGCTCCCAACAGAGCCCCGGGACCCCGCAGCCTCCAGCACTGCCGCATCCCCAGCGCCGCTCTGCGCGCATCGCCTGCGTTGCCTTGGCGACGGCAACTCCCACACGCTGCTATTTATTCTGAAGGACACTTTCTCTTCTGTTGTTGCAAAGCCCTCCAAAGATCGCGTGGCGTGGCACACCAAATCCCAGAGAGGTAACCGTGCTCTCAGCTCCTGCCCAGCGGACTCCTCCTGGGGCCCTGCCAGCCCATGGGGTGCCCAGGAGGATGCCTGGGGGGTGGCAGCACCTCGGTGGCATTGCTCAAAGCCAGACCGAGCCCTGGGCAGCGAGGGTGGGAGGAGGAATGTCCCTGTCTGTGCTTGGGTATGGTGTTTCTGCTGTGACCCACACGATGCCCAGGGTTGCATGCTGTGTCTGCTCCCAGCTGCAGGGCAGCACTGAAATGGTGCTTGGGCTGGAGCTGAGCCCTGTGAGCTGCTGCTGCAACTTGGGAATGTCGTCAGCAAGCAGGAGAAAATGGGAAGAGAAATCTGCCTTTGTCCATGAGCCACCAACCCCGAGTACCGGGGAGTGATATTTTGTCTTTGAGAAGCTCAGAGACAACAGCAGGGCCGTAGCGACAGCTGAGTTTGGGCTGGTTGCGTTTTCCTTCTCCTCCTTTGGCAGTTATTAATAAAAGTGCCTCATTTGCACTGCTTCCTTCCTCGTGGAGGAGCGGGCAGGCGGCGAGGCGTGCTGCTGTGTGTGTGCACGACCAAGCGCTGTGCTGGGGCTGCCTGCACCTCCCCTTCCTCACAAGGAGAAATTTCAGCTCGGATGGAGAGTTGGGCAGAGGCTAAAATGGAGCGTGGCGCCCGCTGGAGTGACAGCGTGGCTGTGAGTATTGCTAAGGTGAACCTGTTCTGAATGCTCTCTGGGTACCCGGACGCCTGACTTCTCACTTCTCTGAGCCGCTGACGTGCAGCACGTGGGGATGATCTCTGTTCCAAAATCTGGTTGCTTCCACATTGTGGGTCAGTGTGCAGCTCAGCTCTCGACACCTCGCACCGTGAAGCCGGCACAGGAGGGCAGATACCCCTGGTTCCCTTTCCAAACCTGTGGCACCCATTCCTGGGGACAAGGTGCCACCAACACAGAGGGCACCTTTGGTGCTGCGCTCTGAGAAATGCACCAACGATGCATTTGTTCCTGTGTTGTATTTTTATTTTTATTTTTTCGCATCTTGAAATTCTTCCTCCCCCAGCCTGAACTATTTTGGTTTATGTCGTCTGTTTCTGGCTCTTCCCTTTCTCCTTCTGCACTCTTTCCGTGCATCGCCTTTTTCCTCCCCAAAATAAATGCTGTTATGCTTTGGGAAAAGGAAAAAAAAAAGCCAATTAGGGAGAGAGAAAAAAAAAAAAAAGATGCTTTGAACAGAAAAAGACTGCGCCTCAGAGTATCCAGGTCATCTCCATTGGCTTCATTTGCTCACGCACGGAGGGAGTATACAAATTCTTCTGTCAACCAGATGCACATTTTGTGGTGCTACCAATGGCTTTATGGGGTGCAGCGCTGCAGAGGATTAGTCTATTTAGGCATATAAAGCTCTCATTAACTCCTGCTGAGTCCGACAAAAGTCTTTCTTGTGTAAATGCTGAATAAAATGAAGTAAAGATTTTCGGGCCTTGGCCTAATGATTTTTTTTTTTTCTTTCTGGGAAAAAAGAAAGAAGCAGGAAAAAAACCCAACCCTGCGTACTTCAGGTGTTTTCTCACAGTGAAGCACCGCGCTTCACATGAGCTGACATCACAGGGGGAGACATGAGTTAGAGCAGAGCTTTACAAGGCGAGATGCAACCGGAGAAGAAAGAGAGATTTGACATGAAATAGCGGTGGCACTTTACATCAAAGCAAAATTTGAAATAATTAACCTGCCGACAGTTCAGCGTGGTTTCCATTTGATCTGCAGCGAGGGCGCAGCTCAACGGCTGCTCATCATTCCGTGCTCAGGGCTTTGCTCCTTGCACACGGTGAGGCTCGGTGCTGCGTGCCCAGCCTGCGCCCGGCCAGAGCGAGGGCTGCTTTCGAGTCACGGCGACCTGATTAATGACAAGTGGGTTACGCATGGCGAAGCGAGCGTACTGTGCTCCCGTGTGCTGGCTCACGGAGTGCTTGGTGAGGGAGACCTGAAATGAAGGAGGGCTGCATCCCCTGGGTCAGCTCTCCTGGCTGCTCCTGATGCAGATGGAGGGATGGAAGGATGCCCGTAGATGTTCTTGCATGCAGCCTTGGCTTTGATGTTGCTTTGGTGTCTGTGCCCTCGCCACGTGGGCAGCAGGAAGGGGAGCAGGTGGCCGGAGCGTCCTGCAATGCCATTTGGGGAGGTGGCAGCATCCCATCCCAGTGCTGAGAGGGTTGGGAGTGTCAGGGTCAGATGAGTGCTGCTCCGCAGCTTGTGGAAGGGGTTGGTCGTGCTGCCCGCGCTCTCCTGCTTTCTAACATGCTCTGTGTCTGCCCGCAGGTCAGGTTGCCCGCTAGGAAGCCATGCTTGGATGTTGATAGCCATGTTCCACCTCGCCATGGACCTTGCCAGCTGCGAGCCCGCCGGGACGCGTCTCTCTCCACGGTCGGCACAGCGGCACAGACTGCCCCGTGGTGTGCTGTGGAGCACAGGGGGCAGCGAGGAGCCCCGCCGCCCCAGCCCCCCCTGGCCCTGTGCCCCCCGTGCCCGTCGCCCACCCCCCGTCCCCCTGCCCCGCGCCCGGCGACAGCTGCGAGGCCGCGGCTTTGCTCCACGGGATGGGCGACCCACGGCTCTGCCCGAGGTCATCGTCTGGGGCCCCACGGGTGAGGAGGACTCCCTGGAGAGCAGCACGCTGCCCAGCATCTTCACCACCGCCGCCGCCACCACCGTCACCACCACCGCCGCCGCCACCACCGCCGCCACCACCGTTGCCACCGTGCCAACCCCCAGCAGCCCAGCTCCCACGCCCGGCATCGAGGAGCCCCGTGGCCGTCCCAGCACTTCTGAGCCAGCTGCCGGCCACAGCAGTGGTGGAAAGGACGCGCGTCCACCCCGTGGCCTGGGGGACACAGCAGGTACCAGGCAGGCACCGAGCGCCGCGCTCACCCACCCGCAGGACGGAACACGGGGTCCTGTGCCGTGGTTCTGGGGATGCTCGAGTTTGGTCTGGTGGTTGGGGTGGTTTGTCTGGTGGTTGGGGTGGTTTGTCTGGTGGTTGGGGTGGTTTGTCCGTCAGCTGGAGTGGTTTGTTCGTCATCTGAGGTGGTTTATCCTTAAGTTGTGGTGGTTTGTCCTTTGGTTGGAGCAGTTGGTCCATCGGTTGGAGTGATTGGTCCATTGGTTGGGGTCGTTTATCTTCCAGTTGGTGCTGTTTGGCAGTTAGAGTGGTTTGTTCATCGGCTGGGGTGGTTTGTCCATGGGTTGGTGCCGTTGGTCCATGAGTTGGATTGGCTTGTCCATCAGTTGTGGTGCTTTATCCATTGGTTGGAGTGGTTTGTCTTGCAGTTGTCGTGGTTCGTCTTGTGGTTGTTGTGGTTGGGGTGTTTTTTTTCCTGCAGTCCCAGCTCCTCTGTGTATGCCAGGGCCTTTGGGCACATCACCACGCAGATGCTCTGCTCGGCTCTGGCTCCATCCTGAAACGGCCCAGGGTAGTGGTAGAGATGCCAGGGGTTGATGTGCTGAAGAGCGCAGCCGAGTGCAGCCCGTGGTGGAGGCTCACTGGGGTGGGTGGCAAATCAGCATCCAGAGGAGGCTGTCACCGGGTGCTGTGGCATGGGCTCCCACTGCCCAGCTTTGAGATAAGGGCGTGATTTCAAATGAGTGCTTGGGAAAAAAATGGAAGCTCTGAATCATCACTTTCATCTGAGACATTTTCTAGCAGCTTGCTGTATTCTTCCTATTATCAGTATACATCCACAAACCATCTTCCGTAATCAAATTTAGTGCAGCACTCAGTTACTGTAATACTTTCCACCAGCACGATTTGCTGCATGGACATGGATGAGAAAGCAGGTTCCCATTTATTTCAAATTATATTTGTTATTACCAATATTAAACTGTGGGATACTGTTGTACAGTTTACAGAGCATATTCATTGTGCATTGACTGCTTTTAGCCCACAGTGATTTTCTAGTGAAAACGAAAAGGAATTTTATGATCTAATCTTAATCCCAATGAATTTATCTAGCAAGGAGTGACACTGAGGTTGGTTTTTCCCTAACTTAAATAAATCATTTATAGTGGTGAAAAGCTCCCAACCTACACAACCTTGGGAAAAACGCATTAGAATCAGCTGGCTTAATTAGCAGCAGTAACGATTCCTGAGTTTTTGGAGGTTTTGGTGGAGGCTTTGGGAGCAGGGTGTGATGTGTTTCGTCCCCTATCAGATGTGCTGCTTTGTGGACATCGCTGTGCTGATGCTGGGATGCTGAGGAGCACAGCAGCCCCCAGCCCTGGGGAGGGAGGGAGGGAGCTCCTGTGGGATCAGAGCTTTCATTAATGATCTCCTTTCTGCCATGTGGTGGATACTGAAGGCTAAAGGCTTTGTCCGCTGGTTGGAGCGGGTGCTAAAGGCTAAAGGCTGCCTTGATCTCAGTCTGTCCAGCCTAGATTGAAAAGTGCCTGAGCTCCACGTTTGCTTTTGCTGCCATCATCCGTGTCGAGCAGGCAGGAGACCTCCAGCCCACGCTGCTATCAGCTAACACTGCTGTGGGATGATGGATCCCACTGCTGCCTGCTTCCCTTTGGGCAGGGAATGGCAGGAGGGAGCTGCAGGGTACCGGGAGCGTTGGGGTCACCTTCAACCCCATGTCAAGTGACCAGCTGTGCCTTGACGCCCGTTTCTCCTTCCACTGCTCAGTTACATAAGCAGCAGCGGCTGGAAGTGTTTGTTCTCTGCCTGGGAAAACATATGGTTACAAATGAGGATTAGGTAACTTGTTTGTGCTCCCGCTTTGCCTCGGCCAGCATCACAGATAGGCCAACATCACAGGAGCTCCCTGCAGATAGGTGACGTTGGAGCGGCCCCAAGGAGGGGATGTGAGCACCCATCCCAGGTTGTGATGGCACTGTGGGTGCCGTCCCGTTGGCTCCCGGCGCAGCCGACGTAGCATCAATTGGTTGGACAAGCAGTGAGCACAATCTCACTCAGGTCTTCCTCCTCTCACCCCACTCCTGCTTGGTGAAGGGGAAAAAAAGGAGACAGGAGCCATTTATCTGTGACTCACCGACAGAAAAACAAGGCTAAAAATTCCTGTGGAACGGCAAATATCCTGCTTAGGAGGAGAAAGACAGACAAGTGATTGCTTCTAGCATCCAAAAGAAAAGAGCAAAATGGGGCGTGCGGCTCTGCTGGTGGTGGGTGTTGGCGTGCAAGGGTTTCTGTTTTGTTTTTTTGCAGCGAGTAAACTGACAATCAGGTGTGTTTATCCCAGTGCCACCTATGTCTGCTCAGCGCCTGGCAAGAGTGCTGATGGCAGTCAGATGGGGCCTCAATATGTTCACCCAGGCGTAGTTTATGCTTATGCTTTTCAAAAATGTGCTTCCTTTTTTCGGGGGCTGTCATATCCATTTTACGACGGAGCATGGAAGGAGAGAAATAATTAAAACTCCGGAGTGCTGGAGAGGTAAAGGTTGTAGGGCCGCTGTGCTCCCGGCACGGCTCAGCCAAAGGGGTGAATCAGGGACTGCTGAAATCTGGGCACTGAAGCTCTCCTGTCTGTGTGATTAGAAAAAAAAAAAAAAAGAAAGCCATCTTTAATTAAACCTTTAAGTGCTTTATAAGGCAGAAGACTTTATGTGCCGTCTGCTGCTCCTAATGGTTATTTGATGGCCGGTATGCAATGGATTTGGCATCATGTGCTGTGAGCAGCGTGCTCAGAACAGGGCTTGTGGGCAGTGCTGGGGACCCCAGTGTGGCTGTGGGGCTGTGGGTGCTGCCCTGTGCTGTGCTGCCTGGAGTGTGGTATGGGCAAAATCTGCCCTGCTGGGGGTGAAGCAGGAGGGATGGGAGAGGGGCTGCTGGATGCGCCGAGATAGCATCTGCTGAAGGCTTCAAAGGAATTAATTAAAGATAAAATGCCTTTAAAACCCTGGGCAGTTGGAATGGAGCTGCCGCTTTGATGTGCTGTGCAGGGTGGGAGCTCGGCCCTTCGGGGCAGCTGTGGAGGGGCTGAGTGCCCTCCCATGGGTCACAGTGCAGATCCTGCTGTGCTGCTGGCCAGGCTGCTGCCCAGGGAGGTGATGCAGGATGCTGAGCTTTGCCCTGCATGCAGTGCGTGGTGCTCAGGGCTGGCGCAGATGGGCGCTCCTCTTCTCCCATCCCGTCTCAGCCGCAGGTGGGAAGCCCATCGATCCTGTGGGATTATTGAGCTTTCAATTCACATCTCTCCTCAAAACCTAAAAGAGCTTCTGCCAAGCTGGAAGCGAGGCCGCGTTTCATCTTAATTTGTCAGACAGCCCTCTCTGCACGACAGGAGGACTTGTTGGGCACTCAGTGGAGCTGGGCAGTGCCATGGGCAGAGCAGCAAGATCCATCGCATCCTGTCATTGCTGGGGAAGCGTGGCATGTGTGTCCCAGCTGACAGCACACCCAGCCTCCCACACATGGCCAGCACGGGGTCTGCATTCCCTTTTGTCACAGGGGAGGTGCAAGGGCTGCTGCTGTCCTGGGAGGTTCTCAAAGGAGGCTGCATGGCTTCCCTGAAGGATGGAGGAGCTGGGAGGAGGAGGAGGCTGCCTCTCAAAGCAAGAAGTGAGCGTGGTGCGAGCTGAGCTCTCTCTGCCTGTTGTTTTCCCCAGGATCAGCAGATGCTGTGTGCATGCCCGCCCTCGCCCACGTGTGTCTAAATGAGCCAGGAACGCTCCTCTTCTGCTCTCAGGAATATTTATTGCTTGGTGCTATTTGCTGTAACACCTGAGCAGATAAGTCCTGGTGCCTTTAGCATAAGCCTCCAGGATCTTCTTTCTTGGCAAGGAGATTTCTGAGCAGCAGCAGCACTGGGATATTCTTCCCCTTTCAGCAGCCCAAACCCAAATATCAGGCAGTTTCCAGGAACCTTGGCTTTTTGTTGCTGAAGAGCTGCATACTAGCTTCAGATTATTGGTGCTCCCCAGGCGGGGTTTCAGAGCTGATCTCAGGGATTTCACAGCACAGCATCACACAGGGGCCACGGATGGAGCACTGCGCTCCCCTGGGCAGTGGGGACCCCCAGAGCCCCCACCCCATGTGAGGACAAAAACACAGAGGCTCTGCTGTAGGTGTCAGCAGGGCAGACCCAGGGACATTTCCCAGTGCATCAGGTCAACCCTTGTGTTTCTTGTAGATTAGTTTTCATAAAAGCCGTTCAGCAGCACTGTGGTTAGCATTAGGACAAAATCCTGCTGATCCCCCATGGGAAGAGGCCGTTTGTAACTGTGATTGCTGCAGAACGCCCATGCTGTGCTCCCCATTGAACGTTTCTGTCCAGCAGCAGGTTTATGGGCTGCACGAGGCTTCCAGCATCAGATCCCTCCTGCCTTGGCACCAGCTTGCAGCTGAGTTTTGCCCGCTGGGGCTCAGGCAAGGAACCATCCCAATGCCATTGGTGGCTTCTGAGCAGTGAGCACTCCTTTGCTCCTGCAGGTGTTGGAGGCAGCAGGCTCAAGGTTGCAGAACACAGCGTGAGCACTGCCTGATGTGAGCTGAATGCCAGCAGTGCTGTGCTGGGCTGGTGACACTGGCTTCTGGCTCCTGCACGGGCTTGGATGCTTTCGTGGTAGCTGCGGAAATGACCTAGAAGGTTATTTTGGCTGGGGAATAATTCCCACAGGCACCAACTCCATCTGTGTTTTCATCCTTTCCCTTTGTAAGCTCTTCACTTCTTGAGCCCATTCCTTTCATTGCTGACAGTGTGCTGGGGATGTGCCCTGCTGCCCGGAAGCGACGCTCTTATTGATAAGCAAGAGGCTGCAGGGCCAACCATGCATGTCTAATTGCAATCAAGCATTCCTCCCAGCTCACCCCAGGACCCAATGGCCCCACTGTGCCAGCAGGCTCCTCAGCCAGCCTGCCCCCATCCAAGCACTCAAGCAGGAATCACCCATGAAAAAGAGCCAGGTGGCAGAGATCTCATAGGCAACCGCCTGCAGGAAGGTGCTGGGGTGCAGAATTGGGACGTTGCAGGTATTTGGAGCAGATGTTGTTTTTCTGCCTCGAACGGTAACTCAGGATTGTACTCTGCAAAACAAAATGAAGCTGTTTCTTCTTTCTTAATTTCATGCAGCTTAGAGGCCCTGATGAGGGTCTTCAAAGAGCTGAGGCTCGTGGCTGTTTTTATTGGGAAAATGAAAAATATGGTCTCCCTAACCAGTGCTGTTGAAAGAAAGGCCTTGGGGGATAGAGGTTCTCTTTGTTTTTAATTAAGAGCTTATATCTCCTGCTTGCTGCCACTGCGCACTTCTGCGGGAGCGAGACACGAGTCTCGAATGGATTTTCTCATGGAATTAATTCTGTCGATGCAGAGCTGTCCAGGAGCTGTTGCAAAAGGTGGACAGAAAGGCCAAAATTCGGTGCTTTCATCTTGGTGGCAAATAGATGGTATTTAACATACAAAATAAAAGCCTTAGCATTTGCTTGCTTTGAGAAGATTGGATTTTTTCCTCTCTCTCGGCTGGGGGAATTTGGAATCACGTTTTACGGTCGGCTGCAGCTCTCCTGCCTGAACAGAAAAGTCCATCCTTGCTGCCCACGTGGGTGCTAATGGTGGGTGTCCATAAGCTGGTGGGCCTTGTTCTGCCTAGCAAGGAGCGTAACGTCAGCATCCCAGAGCACTCCAGGCACAGATGCTGACCGATGCTCACAGGGCAGCTGTGGCTGTGAGCTGCAACTACAGGACAACGCTGGGATAATGGCAGTGCCAACCCGGTGCTGCACAATGAGCGGTTCCAGGTGGGAGAGGTGCTCAGCAGGATGGAAAAACCCAGCAATATTTCAGCGTTTCCAAGGGTTCAAAGAGTGCCTTTGAAGAGCTTTCCCTCCTGGCATGCGACACATTAAATTCTGCTGCACTAGCAGAAGCGCGGGGGTTTGGACACACTTTCAATTCCATTAAATACTTCTCCTGTAATTACCCTCCAGTTAAATGGTCACTGCGTCAAATTTACTAGTAAAAGCCTTGTAACAGTGGAGTGCTTGCAGTCCCCTTGCTGGGAGCAGGTATCAGCACTGTGTGCAGCTGCAGCTGCCCGCTCAGCGCTCGCTGGGCTCTTCCTGATGATCAGTGCGCAATTAAGCAACCACCTGCATCTGTAACGAGCTGGGGGCAGGCCTCTGCCATGCAAAATCAGGGGACTTCGGGGCTGACCCGGCTGCAGTGCTGAGCGCCTCCAGGATTACTTGAGACAGAGGAATAGAAAACGTGAAAGAAGTGAGCAAGGGCCTGGCTGCCTGCTTGGGACCATGGTTAAGGTTGGAGATGACTTCTGAGATCATCAACCATCGACCCATGCCCACCGTGTTCACTCACACAATCGTAGCCTCATTAAGGTTGGAGAAGACCTCTAGGACCCTCAGGTCCAACCGTCACCCCATGCCCACCAAAAACTGTTGCTCACATCGGCTGGAGGAGGAGCGTGCATTCCCTCGGCACCTCTCACAGCCAGCAGCATGCTGCTAATTTCTCTATATGAGCTATTGATCGGATCCTCCAGGTCCCTTTCCTCCAGACAGATTGGTTTCCTATGGCTGTGTTTAAAATACTGCTCTGCTCCTGGTGGCTCTTCTCTCTATCATCTCGCTGCTGTCCCCCTGGTGTCCCTTATGGGATGTTCCCGTGTCCCAGCACGTCCCATCCATTAACACCTCATCTTGCAGATTGGATATTCTTCATCGATTTTGCTTCGTGCCGTTCTGTATATTTCTTTGAAGGCTGGGAAGAAAGGAATTTATATGTTTACAAAGTAAGAACAAAGACAGGTTACTCCTTATCCTGGCAGGTATTGCTGTAGGGCTTCCCAAGAAGTCACCGCAGCCAGCTGTGGGCCCCATCTACAGCACTGCTTTTGGGGAAAATGCTCCCCATCCCCTTGAAATCTTCCTAGACCTCAGTGCAGAATTCATGTGCAACACAAAGGAACTATGCTAGTGCGTATGGCAGCTGATGTATGTGCCACAGTCTGCAATTATCCAGCTCTTCTTGCACCCCGTGCGTCCTCCTTGGAAGAGCTGCTGTCCTTCCCCAGCTCTGCTCTGCTGTGCTCAGGGTGCTACAAGCACGAGCTCTAATCACAGCACTGGGCTCACCCTCACTCCCCGACTCCCACCATCACCGAGGTCTGCATTCCAAAGCTGCTCCTGTTTTCAAAGGCGTTGGGCACTGGGTTGCACGGACTTTATTTTTAGAGCTTTTCCTTTTATCTTTCCCGGCGGTGTCCCACTGGGAGCTGCTCCAAGAGCACTGTGAGCACTGTGACTGCGCTGTGCTGGGCTCTTGCTGCTCCTGACCCCAGCGCAGTGTGGGGTGGCACAGTGTGAGGGTGGCACGGTGCACGATGTGGGGCTGCTCCTGCACCCTGGGAACACCTTGGCTGTGTTTTGGGCTCCGGTGGCCGATTCCGCACCCCTCGCTTTGCTTTGACAGCTGCCGTTGCCAAGTGCTCTCCAGAGGAACCTTGTCACAGTTTGTTTGAGCCAATTGAAGTGTAATTGGGAGTAAATGAAGGAAATGGGTCATTTGTGAAATAGGTGCTTGAGTCAAGGGAGGAAAATAACCCTGACTCATCCCTCCGGGGATCCGTCCCCACTGGGATGTGGTGAATGGCCTCCCCAGGGGGAGCGCAGTGCTGTGTGTGGCCCTGGGACATGGGGTGGGTACAGGGGATGTGTTTGTGCCCCTTCAACGTGCTGCTTCCCCCCCTGTTTGGTGAGCAGCTGCTGGGGTGGATCAGCAGCGCATCCTGCTCCATGCTCAGGCTCTTCTGCGCTCCCCCACATAGCATCCTCTGGCAAAGCACAGTGAGCAGTGCAAGTGAATCTCCATCCACAAGCACTCTGCCTTCAGTTTTTATTGTTTTGCACTTTTGCTGTTCTTTATACCAGCATCTCTCAGCTTGTGGCTGAAACCCTCACATCTGTTGTTTCGGAGGCAGTGAGGAGAGCTGAGCTCCAAGAGGTGCAAAAGGCAGCCCCAGGCCATGCAACCCTGGGCTGGCAATCTGCTCCACACTGATGCCCCATTCAGGTGCAAGGGCAGTGTTGTCCATCACTTTGCATTGGGTTGCTCGCTGGCAACAGGACTGGATTGGGTCCATGCTGCAGCACTGGCAGTGAGGGCAGTAAGAACGAGGGAGTGGTGGCTCTCCAGCAGTGATAACAAGCACGATGCTGGCTGTGCCCCTGCGGATGGATGTGGCTCTTTCTCACTCCTGCTCGGGTCAGCAGCACTTCTGGGCAGTCAGCATCTCTTCAGCAGTGTGTGGGCTGAATGGGCTCTGTGCATTTCTGTGCCTTAGGGAGGTGGCTCTGCCCCAGGAGTGGGGCTGGATCCGATCAACTTCTGCATGGATGGGGTTTGTCAGCAGTGGGGATGTGTGCAAGGACCCTAAACCCCTGTATGAGACTGAGCAGGGGGAAAACCAACCTCAGGACAGCCAAAGCTTCCATCTCCCATCCTTTGAGAAGGCAGCAGAGCAGCACACAGCCGTGCGTGCAGCTGCCGGCTGGGGTTGCAGCGCCACTGTGGCTCTGAAGCACCGCAGCACCAGCTGTGCCTGCATGCAGCTGCCTGGGACCCCTCCTGCGTGGGCAGCAGCAGTTCCCTCACTGCACACATTCACACCGAGCAGCAGCACTGTGCATGTATCACATAGATACAAAGCTGCTTGCTTTCCCGTCACGCTGGCATTTATTTATTTATTAAAAGCATCACCCATCAGGAGCGTGCAACATCTGTTTGTGAGAAACTGCACATCCTTGGGCCCCAGCCAGGAAAATCATTTCATTACGAGATTGCCACTGTACAGCGGCGCGGCATCACAAACATACTGTACACTGAGATGCTTTTGTTTCCAAACTGCTCATTAGGAATGATACACGAGCCAAAATTATACCCTGTGTAAGGTGAATTAGGAGAAAATGAGCCCAACCGACCTTCTTAAGTGAGCAGCAGTTAGTACTGTAATTATTATCTCTGGTTAATCCCGCACCCACTGCAAGGCTGTGCTCAAGTTTCCTGTTCCATCCCAGAGGGTATGCATCTTCACATGGCTTCCGTTCTTCGTGCCTAATTCAGGCTGACAAGGAACATACTCGAGAAGGGAGGAAACAAGAGGCCCAGCTTAAAGATTGTTTTATGTAATGCAGGAGAGAGAACTGTGCTGCTGCTGCTGCTGCCTAGGGCTGCTCCCAGCCCTGTGCTGTGGGAGAAGGGCAGAGGGATGCGATGTGCTGTCCTGGGGGAATGCCTTGGGGGTGTTCATGTACCAAGAACTCTTCCTTTTCCCTTTTCCCTTTTCCCTTTTTCTTTTTTTCCCCCTTTCCACTTTCCCATTCCCTTTTCCTTCCTTCTGCCCTCTTCCCTCTTTCCTTTCCCCTCCCCTTCCATTCCCTTCCATCCCTTTCCCCTTTCCCTTGTCTCGCTTTTTTCCCTTCCCTTTCCTATCTCTGCAGGTGCTGTGCTGTCCCTCTGGTTTCCTATCTCTGTTCTGATTCCTTCTCTTCCAGGTCTGGCAGTCCATCAGATCATCACTATTACCGTGTCCCTCATCATGGTCATAGCTGCTCTGATAACAACTCTTGTCTTAAAAAACTGGTAAGGGGCCTCACGGTGGGGCTGGGCTGGGACAGGCTTCCCGTGGAGAGGGATTTCACACCCAAACTACAGCAAGCATTGGCTGGCTCAGTTTGGTGCCTTAGGGAGGATGCTTGAGCATCATGGCTGGGTGAGCGGCCTTTGCAAGACCCTGCAGTGACGTCATCCAGTGACGTCATCCAGTGACGTCATCCAGTGATGTCATCCAGTGATGTCATCCAGCAAGCTGCCTGCATTCTGTGGCCCTGCAGGTTGCACTGCTTCTCTCCCACCTTCCCGAGGCTCCAGGGCTGGATCCTCTCTTCTGAGCCTCTCGGGTGCCACCAGTTCTAAGTGTGCCCCATCACCTGGAGCGCTCCTGTGCACCTCGAGCTTCATTTGCTCTCATTTATTCCCTTAACACAGGCTGTGCGCCTGGTAAAATAGGTTAGCTTCTTGCTTCAGGCACTCGTGACTTTACCTATTTTCCCAGAGAAACTGCCCTACTTTGAGGTCAGCGGTGCCAGCTGCCGTGATGCCGCTGTGCTCCGGGACTCAGAGGTCCCCAGCAGCAAAGCAGCACCTTGGTGGCATTGCTGAGCTCCCATCGTGTCCCAGAGCTGCGTGCAGGTCGGGCTTCCCCACGCAGGAGGCAGAGATACAGCCGTGCAGTTACTCAGCTGGTGCCTCCCCGATAGAAAGGTTTCAAATAAATAAATAAGAAAGAGCACTGGACTGGGAGCTGTTCTATCCAAAGTGCCAGAATTGCGACGTGATATCAAACGATGTTTGTAATTAATGGCTGTTTATGCAGTGTTGGGCGCCCCCCCCCCCGCCCGGTGCTCCTCTCCCCACGCAGCTGTGCGCAAAGCGGGGCCGCGCGGCGCAACGGCCACCAACGCAAAATCACACAGCAGGAGGAGAGCTGCCAGAACCTGACCGACTTCACCCCCGCCCGCGTGCCCAGCAGCCTGGACATCTTCACAGCCTACAACGAAACGCTGCAGTGCTCCCATGAGTGTGTCAGGACGCCGGTGCCAGTGTACACGGAGGAGGCATTGCACTCGCCTGGAGATTACAAAGCAACCTTCAATGGAAACAGGTGGGGTGATGCAGAGCCGTGTTCCCGTGCGCCCTGGTCCTGCTTGTCTCCATCCCGTTCCTGGTTTGCAGTAAAGCATGGCTGTGCCACACCGTGCCCTTGCAGAGTCAGTGTCCCTTCCCTTGAGCGGCTCTTGAGCATCGTGGATGGGTTTGGCACCGCATTTCTCAGTTCCCTGCCTCCACCCCCAGCCAGGAAATGTTTCTCAGATCCATCTTCCAGAATTTCTGCCGTCTCCTAAGTGCCATCTAAAGAGCTGCTGGCTTGTGAATGGGCGATGTGATTAATGAAGGAGCAGGCTGCAAGAAGCAAATGAGCCATTTGTCTGGCACGAAATAAAGATATGTTAACGAGGGGCATAATGGGAGCTGACAGAGCTGTGTGAGCCCATCTCCAGGTGCCCCCCACCCGCACAGGGAGGAATGCAGGAGGACGGGGTGACCCCACGACATTTGCCCGTTGTGTTTTTTGGTGCTTCCTCCCGTCTTGGAAGGCACAGAATTGGGATTTTCAAACCATTTTGTTGTGTGTGTGTCAGCGTGGCCATGAACCCCGATGCGCTGATATGGGGTGGGCAAGTGCTGCTCCCCTGCCTCATCCACATGCTGGCAGCTCGCTGCTCTCAGCCTTGAGGCGATGCTTTCTGGGCAGCCCCACACAGGCAGCGCACAGCCCCACATCCCACACGTAGCAGTGGTTCCACTGGGATGGGACGCTGGGGATGTCCCCATAGGGTTGCTATGGGTTGGCTGAGTGTCCCCATGCCAACCCCCCAGCCATGCTTCTTCCCCTGCTTTGCACCACCCCGGTTTCCCAGGCCAATGAGTGCCATCAAAGCATTGCTGTAGAGGTTTTGCTCTCCCTCTGATGAAGCTGATGTGCACAGCACCTCCACAGCTCGCTCGTGTTGCACACCAGCACATGCAAGCCCATTTTTCTGCTCGCTGCAGACCCTCTTCTTCTGATCGGCATCTTATTCCTGTGGCCTTTGTGTCTGAGAAATGGTTTGAAATCTCCTGCTGACTGGCCGAAGCCTGTTTTACTTCCTGGGCAGGGCAGACGCCGTCTGGCTGTTTCCTGGTAGGTACGGCTGCCCACATCCCAGCATGGTGGGGTCCCGGGGGGAGGTGGCTGTGTGCTGGGGCTGGGGTGGGCTCCATTGGCTTTCCGTTCTGCTGTTGCATTGTTTGGGGATTGTTTTGAATGTTTGTTAGCCGGCTTGGGTTGCTTTCACCTACTTGTTCCCACGAAGGTGGCAAGAAAGCAATTAGGCTTCACTGTGTTCTGCATCACAGCAGGGCTGCAGTGCCAGCTCCAGCCCCACGCTCAGGTACATGAACCCGTCGGTCCCAAGCCCCTGCTGCAATGAATCATACATTCAGTGTAAATGAAACTTCCAGCCTCCCCTGGCTGCAGCTTGCTCGGAACAGCCCGTTAAACATCGCGCTCGGCAACTGAACACAGCAATATAATGAGATTAGAATGGAAAGGAATAAAAAGTTAATGGTCCCAGGCAGTGTGCGGCTGGGGCAGGGCACAGGGCTGAGCCCAGCCTTCTTGGAGGGCACTGCAACCAGCAGAGCCTGGGAAAGCGGCTCCAGAGAGAGCCTTGAGTGCTTAGCATCCAAGTGAGTTCTTACACAGTGAGCATCTTGAGCTCCTGAGAGAGGGAACCTTCTAGGGTGAAGCCAGAGGGCTCTTAGTCCCCATCTGTTAATGTTCTCTCGTTGTTTCGCCAATTCAGCTGTTGTGGCCACAAGGACTTGTGTTGGTGAGCAGGGAACAGCACAGAGCAGGTCTGAGAGAGGTTCTGCATTTGAATGCACGTCAGAAAGCCAGCAGCCGTGGCATGCTGTACCCTTTGCTCAAGAGCTGACCCTTGGCTTAAAATGATTTTAGAAGAAGCAAAACAGAAACCAACCCAATCCTTACTGACAGCTATGGTGCCTGGAGGAGAGTGGCTGCTGCCCGCTGCAGGAAACCTGTGCAATTCCCGCTGCTGCTCCTCAGCATCCTGTGCAGTTCTGTGCCAAAGGCTGAGTCCCTGCTCATTGCAATGGATTTCTTTAAATAGTCCAAAGCTGCTCCATTACGCTTTATTAAATCCTTGAAATTCTCATTGACCTGTTTCCCTGGAATCCATAAAATTCATATCAATGCGCTCCGGAAAAATCTATCCAAATTCTACCCGAAGCGTTAGCCCTGTGATAGCATTTCAATTATTTATAAAGTTCTGTTGGGTTTCATTAATATCACCTAAATGAGATTACTCCAATGCCCACACACGTGTGCCTGCACCGGGGCAGCTCTGTGTGCAGGTGTTTGCCTGTGGGCTGTCCCCTCTGTGATTGCTGTCTGGTCGCTGGGTTTTAGCCCCAGCAGCAGTGGAAGGATGCTCTGGTGCTTGTGGGTTAGCTGCAGCTCTCCCTTCCAGCACATTTCTTGCAGTGTGTGTGCAAGGGATGGGCCTGAAACAGCCCCTGAGCAGAGCACTGTGCAGTGCACAGCGATTGGAAGCTGCACAATCCTTGGCACTGGGAGCACCTTCCCTTGGAAGGGCTTAGAGTACTTTGCAAGTATTAATTGGTGGCACTTCACAGCTCCTAGCTCTCTAATAAGCAAATTAGTGCCACCAAATGTGTACATTCAGAGCTCGAGACGTGAGACATGATGTGACCAGGGACAAGGATGGTGGGAGTGCAGAGTGGATGGGGAAACGGTGTGTAGATGAACACTGTGAGGTTGGGCATGAGATCTGTGGGGACCATTCAGGTTGTGCTCAGTGTATGGGAGCTGAGCATCGCTGCTGAGTTGGCAGCTCAGTCACTGATGGGTGAGCTGGGCCACTTGGGTGGAAGGGACAGCACTGTGTAGGTGTAGGGTTGGCACAGTGTAGGTGTAGGGTTGGCACAGTGTAGGTGTAGGGTTGGCACAGTGTAGGTGTAGGGTTGGCACAGTGTAGGTGTAGGGTTGTCACGGTGTAAGGGCAGTGTGGCACAGCCTGCTCTGGTTGCTGCAGGCAGCGCTGAGCTTTTGTAAGACAAACTGGTGGAACTCATCTGCTTACATGTCAAGCAGATGCTGAAGTTGTTTCCTTAGGTCGGGTTCGTCCTCTGCCAACACGAGCTGTTTGTGTGACACCGGAGCCGTCCCCGCTGCAGCGCTGGCCCTCTGAAGAGCAGAGAGCTGTGCCCATGGAGAACAGCTGCTGGAGTTTTCCAGCAGATTTCACCCGCCTGCTGCCAAACCCCTCCGGAGCGCTCGCTCGTAGATGAATGTCACACCTCTGCAACAGGCAGCACAGCAGCTATTTCTGCACTTCAGTAGCCAGGATCCGTTCTCGCAGGCCGGCACAGCTGCAGCAGCGATGTGGCCCGGGGCTGTTTTCTGTGCACAGTGAAGTGGTCAATTACAGCATTGGCACTGGGAGCTGAGTGAGGAGTGCTGGGGGTTCATCTGCAGAGCCGCAGCCAGCAGGGCTGCTTTGTTGGGCTTCGCACCGGCCGCTGGGCTTCTGAAATCAAGTTTGGTCTTTTGCATTGTTCCTGTCCTTAATCCCACTTCTCTTTGACTGAAAAACCGCATGGAATGAGATTATACAAAAATCTGTGAGGTTGATGGAGCACTGACCTACTTTGCACAAAGAGGCGATTTGGATACAATACAAATTGTACATCCTGCAACGCGTGCACGAAGTGGGATCCATCCAGAGCTGCGTGCGCCTTCAGCATCGGCGCAGGAGAAGTGGGCATTTGAGAGTCTGAAATCTCGGCGTGACAGTGCTGATCCGACCCCAGCTTTTTTCACAAGGCAGCCCACATGGCTGGAATTGTACGGTAATGCTGTGCTTTGTGCGCTGCCTTGTCCTCCTTCTGCCTGACAACAGCAAGTGGTTTGTATTAACATTAACAGATAATGAGTCATCGTAAAGATTGGGGCTTGTCTTCTGAGGAATAACAAGCATTCCCAGCACAGCCCCAGAACAAAAGCTTAAGGACTCGCTAGAATCTGCCCAGCTAATTAGTTGGAACGCCGGCATCCTTATTGGAGATGGTGCATGCTAGACATTGTGCTTAAAAGTGATGTTGCATTGCAGAGTGCTGATCACCAGCTAGCCAGAGGTCACAGTGCATGGGACAGCACTTCTGCTGGCACGGGGCTGTCAGTGGAGCTGCCCCATGTGCAGCAATCACAAGGCACGCCAGGCTGCAGTGCAACGCGTATCGACAGCCATAAAACCCCATATGCATAAAGTGGCCCCAGCGCTGATGGGGACTAATTGTCTTCTGAAGGTTTAAAGATCACGTAGGGAGCAATCTGTCAGAGGATGGCAAATAAATAGCTTGAGAAGAACTTCAATAGGATCTCTGTTTTTGATGCTTAACCAATTTTCTATTGATTTCTTTAGGGCATTTAACTTTAGAAAATCTTGTTAGTACTCATCATCGCCTTCTCATCTGCCAGAGCACTCGATGCTCTTATCCTAAGTATGAAAAGCTCCAGAATGATCAGAAATAAATTACACTTTGGAAAGCAGGCCGAGAAGTGTGCAGTAAGGCACACCTAAGCTCCTTACTCACTCCTGCTCTTCACCCAAAGCATCACCTCTGCACCAGCACGGGTGGGACGCTGCATCCCAGTGTTGCGTGGGGCTGGGGGCTGGGTTGGACCAGGCAGGGCTGGGACCTGTCCCTGCATGGGGCTTGTGTGGTCAGCAGGGTGGGCACCGCAGGGCAGTGGGGCTGATCCTTACCACGGCTGGTGGGCGACAGCAAATGTGACTGCAGCCTGAGAGCACTGATGCACGGCTGGGTGCGTTTCCCTGTTGTGAACTTAATCTTTTGTTCTCTTTTCGTTTTCCGCAGGATTCCATTGGTGAACCTGTAAAAAAAAAATTAAAAATAATGGGTTACCTGTCCCTACCATTTCTGTTTACCAGTAGGAGACTCAAAGAGCAGCGTTCTATGGGCCAAATATATTTTTATAAAAATGAACACGCCTGTAGGTAACTGCGTTTTTCCAAGAGTGCGTTTTTTGTTTGTTTGGAGAAGAGAAAAGCGTGCGAGCAAAGAATCCCACGAAGGAAGAGGAAACCGAGAGGAGCTGGAAGGAGCAGGACTGAGCAGCTGGACCTTGGGATACGGACTACGATTCTGAACCTGTGCCAATAATACCATTATGTGCCATGTACTGATGCAAAAGACTTCGTGAGAAGCAGAAGCTAAGTCAGTAACACGCAGAAATGCTACCGAGGACAGGGGAGGGGGCGTCTCTTCCGATGGGGTCATTGATTCCGGTCCACATGCATACATACATATGATATATATACAGAGAAAATATATACACACACAGAACACTTTTTTTGTACTGTAGCAATTTTTGAAGATCTTAAATACTCATTTTTAAAGAAAACGTCACGGGCTAAAAGTCTGATTTCTTTAACATGCATAATATGACCTAGTTAAAGCGATGTTTTCTACTTGGGCAGCTTGCCTTTCCAACCTAGATGTGTATATATAGATAGACATATACATATATATATGTGTGTGTGTATGTATAAGCATATATATGTATGTATACATATATAGATAGTTTTATTTTCATTCTGGAGATGCGTTTCCAGCGGTGGGGGCCTGGAGGGGCCGCGCTGGCAGTGGGTGCTCGCGCCGTGCAGCTGCAATGCGATGGGCTTGGAGAGCTTTGAAAGCGGGTCTGGAGCAAGAGCAGATTGGAAAAGGGGTTTTCCAGCTGTTTGCAGCCTGAGCATCGTGGGGATGGCACCGCAGGGGGCAAAGTCAGGGTGCAGAGGGGTCTGCTGGCGTCCCATCATGAGATGCTTCCTGCTGTGCTGCTTCAGAGCGCGAAGGGCAGCGGAGTTCAGACCAAAGTCCTCCGGTTCTTTTTGTAACTCACCCCTTCCGAGTGTATGAATGTTTTTTTAGAGTTATCCAGATACGCATTCTGATCATCTGCTCAATCCTCAGCTCCATTTCTTTATTCTCTGTGTGTCGTTCCAAGAAAAGGCAACTCGGCCCTTCTGGCACTGCGCATCACCCTGCACGCAGCTGCTTCGTTCCATAGCATTCTCTGTCCTTTTCTGATGGGATTTTGTATCCTGGAGAGTTTTCCCCCACCTTATGGAAGCTGCCCCAAGTAAAAGTCTTCCGTGCTAGAGGTGGATGTGAACTGAACATCCCTGGGGGCACTGGCAGCGTTCCCTGTGGCTCTGGGGCAGCTGAGCAGCCTGCGGAGCTGGACGCAGGGTTATGTTGGGTTTGGAGGGTTTTGTTCCATAGCAGAGCCGGTTCCTTTTGCAGCAGGGTCTCTGCAGGGCTCCCTGCCCCTTTGTGTGTTGCTGATGCAAGTGGTGCAGCCCCTGCCAATGATCCTCGCTATCGCATTGCTTCAGTTTTCCTTCTTTGTCTCACTTCTCTGGCCCCGATCCGCTCCAGCTCTGCCATCGTGTTGTGCTTTACCCATCGATCTTTCTATTTATTTGTATCTACTGGCTGCACCAAGTCCTTCCCGTGGGTATTCAGTGTAATCTTGATAGCAGTTTGACATCATGAGATATATCTGAGTCCCTCGTTCCTGGCACCGGGGGCATCGTGGTGAGCTCCTTCCCTTAGGGAGCCACTGCTTGGAGCTCGGCCCGGTGGAGCCACGGGGAAGGGGATGTGTCTGCATGTCTGTATGTCAGGGAGCACAGTCAGACAGCTCCAACCCCAGGCAGGGCTCCATTGCCATGAGCTTCCCCCACTCTGCAGAAGGACATGGCCCGGCCACCCTGAGGCTGCTCAGCGCTGAGCCAGGAGACAAACGTAGATGCACAATCTTCCCTTATTTATAAGGACCAACAGCACTTGCACTTTATCAGAGAAATCCTCACATCCCTATGCATGCCAAGCACACCAAGAAAAGGAACAACTGCCAGCAGGAAGGAAAGGAAGGGAGGGAGGAGAAGAGCTGTGAATGTGTTGGTTTACCAGGCAGGACTCAGCATCCTGGTGCAATTTTGTAGTAAATAGAAATGAAACCATGTTTCTTTCATTCCTTACTATTGATGAGAACCAAAAAAAAAACACCAAAAAACCATGACATGAAAACCTGGAGCTGTATGTTCCCAGGGAGGTGGTGGAGTCTCCATCCCTGGAGATGCTCAAGAAGTACAGAGATGTGGCACTTGGGGACATGGTTTAGTGGGCATGGTAGAGGTGGGTTGGGGTTGGATTTGAGGATCTTAGAGGTCTGTTCCAACCTGAATGATTCTTTGGTTGCATGATTCCATGTTAGTGGAGTAGACCTGTTGGGGAGACTTATTGCATGGGGGAAGAGCAAGAGGTTCAGTGTTTGCAGGCACGTTCTGATGAGCTGTGCCACGCCGTGGCCGCCCCATCCCACTGCTATCTGCTGCAGCAACAGATGACTGCTCTGCATGGATGCCTTCAGCCCTGTGCAGACAGCAGCTCTGCCCTGAGCTGGTGGTCATTGCTCCAAGTTCCACTGATGTGAGCCAGCCCAAAACTCATTCGTAATAACGGGGAGGCTCTGCAGATGCTGCTGCTGCCGCCGGGTGCTCAGATGTGCTGGAACTGCTTGCCCGAGCAGCCAGGGCTGGCTGCATTGCAAGGACATGTGCACATTTGGAGAATTAGGCCTTGAGAAAGGATTTTTCTTTTGTCGTTCAGCAGCTGAGCCTGCTTTCCAGCCAAACAGCAGTGGGAAGCACTGCGCCTTTCCATGGAGCGCCGGGGCCGCGCCGTGCTGTTGGGTTGTGCTTGGTGCAAGTGAGCCGGCAGCTCGGAGGGAGAGTTGGGATGTTTGCTCTGCCATAAGCTTCCAGCCAACTTCTTTTCATTTCACTTTATGGGTTTCTTACACCTTTGGTGGTTCTCAAGAAATATAACCCAGCTGCCAGATCCCCAGATGCGTAGCGGTGCGTTTGTGTTTCGCTGTGGCTGTGCCCCGTTGCAGGGAATGGGAACGAGGCCCTTCCCCGTGCCCCCATGGGGGCTGGGGGGCCAGGTGCCCAGGTGGCTGCCCATATCTCAACACCCAATTGTTTACCTTCATTCTGTCTTCCCAGCGAGAGAAATGGGCATCCCACTGCGGGTTTCATGGGAGCACCGCTGGGAAGGAGGCTCCCACAGCATTCTTGTGACTCAATTCATTTCCAGTGTGGGTAGGAATGTGGAGCAGTGACAGCGAAACAGGCGTAGCGATGACGAGAGCGCTGCAGAGATGGATTTCAGGTTACCTCTTCTCCATTGGCAGCTTGTTACAAAGGAAAGGTAATTCAGCTAAAACGGTAGTTCAATAGTAGATATTCTACACATATTATATATTTTGTAAAAAAAATAAAATAGAATAAAAATATATATGTAATAACTCAGCCCACCCATTCCAGGATGACTGCGGTTGGAATTTTTTCATTCAACCAGCTATAAAATCTGTGCGTGAGTTTTTCAAAACCAGCAAGAAATCCCTTCTCCATCTCAGACATCTGTGGGTCCGCTTCGGTCTGCAGGTCTCACCCAACGCTTCTCACCCATTTTTAAGAATTATTCTCAGCATTTCTAGGGTACATTTTTAAACAGCGTCGTGAGTGGAGATATTTACTATGAGAAAAAGTATACGTTGCACAAAAATGTACACTAAGGGCACAGATTTCTGACCCAGATTCCTCTATTTTAGGTTCCGAGGGGTTTATTTTATTTTTTTTGTGTTTGATAGGACATGTACAGCGGAGTTTACAGTTTATTTTTATTTTGCCAAAAAACAAAAAACAACAACAAAAAAACATTTTCTAACATGAGACAGCTTTTACTTTGTAACCGGTTTTACATCACTGAATATTTCTTTTTTTTTTTTTTTATTTCCTGGGAAAATTCTGTAACATCAGGCGTCGATGCGCGGCGGTGCATCCATGGGGCACGCAGCCCAGCCCTGCTGATGTGTACAGAGGCTGCGGCTGATGGACGGACAGATGGACAGGCAGACAGACAGGCAGACAAACGGACAGATACGCAGATGGGCCGATGGACAGGCAGACGGATGGACAAATAGGCAAAGTGACAGGCAGACAGGCAGACGGATGGACAGGCGGACAAACAGATGGACAGACAGGCAGACAGGTGGACAGGGAGACGGACAGGCAGACAAATGGACCGGCGGATAGACAGGCAGACAAACGGACAGATAGGCAGACAGATGGGCCGATGGACAGGCAGACGGATGGACAAACAGGCAAACTGACAGGCAGACAGGCAGAAGATGGACAGACGTGGACAGGCGGACAAACAGATGGACAGACAGGCAGACAGGTGAACAGACAGGCAGACAAACAGGTGGACAGATGGACAGGCAGGCGGATGGACGGACTGACAGATGGACAGGCAGACGGACAGCTGGGCACGGCAGCCCCGTGGCTCTGGGCAGCCCTGGCACTCCGTGTGCCCGGGGCTGGGCTGCCCTCGGCCGGCTGTGGTTCCACACAGGTGAATATTTTATTCCGGAGTGGTTTTTTTTTTTTTTTTTTTAATTTGTCTCTGTACTTCGAAGCTGTGTATTTGGAAGCACTGTAAATGCGACCCTATACCGATTTCCCTGTGTATATTTAGTACTCTGATGTTGCTATTAAAACTGATATGAGAACCACGCGCCGGCTCGTGACTCGCTTCCTCTGTGCTCCTATCTGGGGTTACATGGCAGGAGGCACCCGGAGCATCCCCAGCTCACTGTGCCAGCCCAAGACCCCCCCAGCAGAGGCAGAACCCCATGGGATCACTGGGTTTCATGGGGACTCGTGGGTTGTCTCACCCCAACGTGGGGATGGCACGGCCGGGATCCTCCAGCACCGTCTGTCCTGGAAAGGGGAAGAAGCCAGTGCAGCTTTGAAGCAGG